TACTAATATGGCATTATGTAAAAATGTGGATGTGTAACCAATGTGATTTTGCAATCTGTATTTGGGGTAAAAATGGGAGTTCATAACCCACTTGAATCGAATGTATGAAATATGATATGTCAAGAGTTTTGTAATGTTTTGAATAACCAATAAAAAAAAAAAGAACATGGCCAAGCGAGCCAAGCAAGTAGAAACTTTTTTTAAAAAAAAGCAAGTTTTAACAATGTGGAAAACTACAAAAACATCAACTGAAGTAAAAACTTTAAAACAAAAATTCTTAGTTTTAGGACACAAACCCCACTGGGTATATGACAAACAGTATGTTATCTTCTCCCCAGACAAAACAGTTAACACCATGTGTCCTGTCAAGAAGGCCACAGGGTCTCTGTAGCTTAACAAGACATCCTCTGGGGGCCCCAGCTTAAGAATCTCCACTTTGTTATCCATCCAATTTGACAATCAATTCAAATGAGTATGGGTAAGACATTTCCCTGGGAAATGAGGAAAGGGGTTCACCTGCAGCAGGCTAAGGAATAACTAGAAAATGAGCAGAGGTGAGCAAAGTAGATCATGGAAAAGCTAGATTAACTGAGGGCGGAAAAAAACAAAAAGGGATCTCAGCAGGAGCTTGAGGGGGTTCCAAAAGTGGAGAGGACTTTTGCTTTTTAGTGAGAGAGATCTGATGCTAGGAAAATATTCACCTCAAAATCCAGTGAAATCCTTACCTTCACAACAGGTACAACTGACAGGAGAAAAGAAACCCTGCCCACATTGTGCTGTATTTAATTCTCTGATAAACCAGGAGATTTATCATGATGACATGCAGGCCAAAGATATTTTCTATCACTAATTGACAGGTAACAGGAATACTTAAAATTGACAAAATGGGCTTCTTCAGGTAAAATCAAAGATTTTTTACATCAGGAAATTCAGCCTTACTAAAATAAAGCTGTATTAGATCTATAAATTTCTACAGTACTCTTACTATATATATATATATATATATATATATATATATATATATATGTGTGTGTGTGTGTGTGTGTGTGTATTATTAATATTATATATAATATTAATAGTGTGTGTGTGTCCCAGGAGACTGATACAATTAATTCTTAAGAAATTATATCTAGTAACTAGAGACAGTTCCTAGAGAAACATTTGGGGAGCTCTTACTCTGCTTTGATCCTCTGTATGTTGTACCATAAACTAAGTGAAAACAATAAAAACATGTTCTTTTTTTTCTTAATATTTATATTTTTAGTTGTAGTTGGACACAATACCTTTATTTTATTTATTTATTGTTATGTGGTGCTGAGGATCAAACCCAGGGCCTCGCATGACATAGGTAAGCATTCTACTGCTGAACCACAACCCCAACCCTAAAAAACATGTTCTTAAAAGAGCCAAAAGTAAAAGAAAAAAATGCCTGCTGAGAAAAAAAATCTGGAAGATTATGTTAAAAGTATTTTATAGCCAGGAATTAATTTTTTTAACTTTTATTGTTCATCAAACTTTAAATATGCATTACTTTTATAATTTTTAAAATATTTAAGAATTTATTTATAACTTAGAATAGCCGCATACCATGGACTTGACCTCCTAGAACAGTCACGCCATCTATCACAGATTGTGAAAATTTCTCACTGCTGGGCCTAGGAAAGGAAAGGAAGAAAAAAATATAATCCCATCTGAAACCAACAGAGTTGCTGGTTGTGAAAGCAAATGCAGAAATTACCGCTACCAATTTCTAAATAATTAGTTCACTGTATTTGAACTGAAAGCAATCAACTCTGAAAAAGAGATATGGGTAAATATGAGCATTTTCCAGTAGCCTCCATAATCAATTTGTTGGAAAAATTTTGGCCTGAATATGAAGTTGGAAGACAGATATGAAGGATACCCTAACTACACCATATTCAAATAACTTTCCTGTCTCACTATAGCAATATTTGTTAACAACAACAATAAATATTGAAAGCACACACAGTATTAGAGATTCTATCTATAAACCTATGTTATTATTGGTACAAATATAGCATTTTCTTTCTCAAGTTCACTGGGAAACAGCAATTTATATGATTTTCTACATGTGTCACATTCAGCAGCTTTTGTCATTTTACAAAACTATGTTATTTTGTTGGGTATTAAGCTACTGAGGAAATAGAAACCCTATTTCTCATTGTATAAAGTCAGAACAAATATCTGAAAATAAGGCATATCATTATATAACTGCCATGTAGAAAAATATGTGATATTTAAATTAGTAAATGGGTAAGAACCAAATATATGTGGGATGGCTTCAATATGGATATTATTTACTTTAGGATATAAATCACTCAACTATTTCTCTGCTATCTTTAAATCTACCATTAGCACTATTTGCAAAATCCTTTGGTAACACAAAGGGTGAAAAGCAAGGTCTAAGCCATTGAGGAGACATTTCCTTTTGAAAGAATCTCTCAATAAAACCAGATCTAAGGTACTGAGGATGTAGCTCAGTACTACAGCACTTGCCTAGCATGCACAAGATCCTGGGTTCAATCCTTTGTACAAAAAAAAAAAAAAAAAAAATAGTTTTAATGTAATATTTCACAAGATACGTTTTGTAAAGGAAGGCAAAAGTTGAATCATAAATATGCAGAAAAGACTAAAAATTGCTATTTTCCAATGAACTCCAGGGTAAGAAAATGCTATAAAATCATGTGTTCTACTGCCATAAGGGGAAAAAAAAATTCAGGGACCCATTTATTACATGCTTCTTTCATTTCAGGAAACAGGTATTTGGCACACATTATTTTATTTAATTTTCACAGAAATACTTTCACACAATAGTTAAATCATGGAATCAGCTTAGGTATCCATCAGCAGATGAAATGAGTAAAAAAAAAAATGTGGTATATTTATACAATGGAGTTTTATTCAGCCACAAAGAATGAAATTATGTCATATGCAGGAAAATGGATGGCACTTGAGAGTATAATGTTAAGCAAAATGAGCCAGACTCAAATGTCAAAATGTCAATAGTTGTATGTTTTCTCTCGTATGTGGAAGCCACAAAAAATTAAGGGGGAATCTCATGAAAATAGAAGGGAGACCAGTAGAGCAGAGAAAGAAGACAAAGAGGAGGGAAGAGGGGAACAAAAAGAGAGATAACTGGGGGAGGAAATTGACCAAATTGTTATGTGCATGTACAAATATATTACAGTGAATCCCCCTATTACATATAATTATAAAACACCAGTTTAAAAAAAAATTTAAACACTGTAATAGGACTTATCAACATCTGATAGATGAGGAAATGGAAGCACCAAAAAATTTAAGTAAACTTCTAAAACTGTAAGAGTTAGAGTTCAGTTTCAAAGGATAGTTGAAATTCCAAAACGCAAGCTGCAGTCATGACTTAGCTCCCATCTCCTACTAAAAATGCCAGGTAAGGGAGGCACCCCTCAGGATAGTTCCACTTTACTAAATTCTTTTTATTTGTCTTGGTATTATAACAGATGTCGTCATTAATATTATATTCTCAAAACTGCTTTGGCAAAGAACACTTATTGTCACCTGGTATCTCTACCAATAACTACGAAAGCATCTTGTTGCAGATCCACAGCTTCTTTCTCACTGATATCAATAAGCACTCTCTGCATATCTTCTTCCTCTGCATTTGCCAAATAAGTAGCATGTTCCTCCCAGGATGGCGCCAACATTTCACCCAAAGGATCGACCAATTTCACACCATTGTCTTCCTTAAAAGATAAACAAACAATAAGCCATCCCTGCATACAAGTGAGGGTGAGATGACAAAGAAGTCTTGCTGTTTTTTTTTCCAGCAGAAGACACTGAGCCACTTCACCTGTTATCACTTAATAATAATGCCAGGCACTGGCAGGTGAATTATATATGTTATCTCATTAACTACCCATGACACATATCAATGTAATTATTAATCCTGTTATTAGTTCTATCTTACAGAAAACTGAGATTCAAAGAGGTTAGGTAATTTGCTTATGATTATACAGCTAATAAGTGTCAGCTGATATTAAAATATCACGTCTATTTGACTTAACTACACAACTACAGAAGCTTTTTTAAAAAGCTGTCATCAGTGCATCAATTAACTGACTAGGGCACAGCTGGAGCAAAACCTCAGACTCAATTCTCCCTAACTTTGGACTCCAAGAATGTAATGGCCAGCATGTTGACTAGTGGATGACACAAAATGACTCCCAATGCTGTTCGCCTCAAAATCCTGGAAAGAAATATGCATAGTCCAGAATGCATGTCAACTTAGAGAAACAATTCAAAAGTTCTGAGAAGTACTTCTACAGTTATCAATAAATGCGAAGTCACTGATCAATTATGGTGACTTCTACATTGATATTTACACATTTATAGTAATTACACAGAGATTAGACAAGCAATGTTTGAGGGGGAAGAGGTTACAATCCATCACTGAATTACATACCTTCCATTTGCTGCTAATTTAGCTACAGAGACAAAAGTCGCATGCTCTAGCAATCAGATACAAACATATTATTCAAACTATGGATTAGTGGCAATAAAAAGTAAATATTTAAATTGTGTCAAAACTAGCCAAGAGAACCTAATCATGTACTGAAAGATGAAGAAAATGTGGTGTATATATATATATATATATATATATATACACACACACACACATAAATATACATATTATTATTCAACCTTAAAAAAAGAAGGAAATCCTGTAATTTGCAGCAACATGGACAAACCTGGAGAACATTTTGCCAAGTGAAACTAGCCACGCATGGACAAATACTGCATGATACCACCTATAGGGAATCTAAAAATGTTAAACTCACAGAAATAGTAAAATGGTGATTGTGACAGATGGGATATGGGGTAAACAGGGAAATGTTGGTCAAAGGGTATCAACTTGCAGTTATGAATAAATTCTGCAGATCTAATATACTACATGGTGACTATAGTTAATAACAATGCATTATATACTTTAAATTCATTATGAATAGATCTCAAGTATTCTCATTACTAGAAGAAAGTAACTATATAAAGTGATGAGGATGTTAATTAGCTTAAATGTGGTAGTCATTCCATAATGTAAACATATATCCAAAAAAGACACTGCACAGTTCCTACATATTATTTGCCACCTATGCCTCAATAAAGCTGAAAAATAACTGTGTAAGAACATTTTGATTAAAACCTTAATTGTCCTGAGGACTAGAATCTCATTATTATTCTTCCCAAAGATCACTTTTGGATCCCTGAATCTACTTGTTTGACTCTTCATTCAAAACAGGAAAAGTATTTAAAAAAAAGTCTTAAATTTTTCAAAATACGTCTTTTCAAATGTTTGCTTTCCCCCATCCAACTACATCTATTAAATTACTGCCAAGTTAACAGAGGTAACACTTTGTAATGACTGATACTGTCTCAATTCAAGTAAGCTGGAAAAACATTATGTTATTTCTCTAATATGGACACTTTTCATAAAATGGTCTAATTTCATTCTCTCCACACCCTCTAATGGGCCTTGAGCTAAATGACCACTCCTAAGAATTGCTTCAAATCCAAAGGCACATTCCCAGAATTAAAATTTGTATTTTGGTCCAACTGCCCAGAACCAGGGTTTAGTCTTGTTTGTTTGCTTTATCAGAGCACTAAATGCATTACCTCAGGATTGTGTGATGCTGTGACCATGACTCCTATTGTGGATTTTGTCTGTTTTGACCTCAGGACAGCTAATAATCCCATGCGAAACATGATGTGATCAAGATGCTCTGCCTTCATTCGAAACCCAGCAGTCCCATATTGAAGGAGGAGTCCACTGGGCTTGGCATGTAACGCTGAGTGTTTTGTAATAGCACTTAAATCCATGTCTACAAAAATTTTCAGACATAATAAGAAATCATTCAAAGACCATTTGCTTCAAAAACTAGAAACGCTCTACTTTTATGAATGACTTTAATGTACCAATTTAATAAATAAATAAATGGAAGACAGACAAAGTATAGGAAAGGGATCAGGGGGAGAAAGAGGAAAGGGGAAGTAATGGGGATTGAAATAGAGCAAATTATATTGTATACATCTATGAATTTTTCCAAATGAACCCCATTTTTAGGTATAACTTTTATACACTAATAAAAACATTTCTTAAAATCCTGCCACCCCAACCTAATAGGTCTGCTTTATTCTGAACCTCCCCAAAAGAACTATGTATGAGACAGAAAAGAACAGTAGAATAACTCCGAAGCATTAGAATTACCTAGAAGTTCCTGCCCAACTTTTCTATTGTCTACTTCAGAGAAGAAATCACCTAATGAATCTCTAATTCATCTCCCATTTTGCCTCTAGGACTATTCCAGGATTAACTTAAAGTGGTCTACTCTCAACCTAAGAAGGATTTTTATACATAGATTCAGAAACTCCTGCAAAACCAAAGATCTTCTCATTTTATAAAAGAGAAACCTTGAATCTGGGCCCCTGTTAAATAACCTAAGTTCAAGTGTGTAACTGGTCAGATTCTCAAGTGGACAACATACCTCAAAATATCTGGGAAATTTATATGGATCTTCTGCTATTCGTCCTAGGCTACAGACACATATTCCCAAAAGAAAATCAAAGGCAATAACAGTTTCCTCTCCAAGACTGCCCACATTCCCTAATATACCTTTCAGAAGATTGTCCAATTTTCATAAAGAGAATTCAGGATACCTTTCTTAATTTAGCTCTGAGACTAGTCACATCTTCTAAGTAAAGTTATCTTTTAATTTTAAAAATCAGCCAGGCAGGGTGACCCACACCTGTAATCCCAGTTACTTAGTAGGCTGAGGCAGAAGGATCACAAATTTCTGTAATCCCAGCAATTCAGGAGGCTGAAGCAGGAGGATCAAAAGTTCTGGGCCAGTCTCAGCAGCTTAGCAAGAACCTATCTCAAAAAAAAGGAAAAAAAAGTCAAAGTCAAACATGTGTCGTTCCTTTTCTGAGAAACTCTAATTCAGAGGAATTTGGGATTTCCAATTCAGTCAGAAGTGTACCCCGAGGCCCATATATTATGCACTTCCTGGGTGCATTCCCAATTAGCCCAGAGTTGAAGAGTAGACTCCACAGCTGTATGCCTCACCTTCTTGTTTTAATGCCCTTCAGTGTTTCAAAGAACAAAATTAAAAGAAATGGTGAAAAGTGTTTGGTTTTGTCCGGTTGGAAAAAGCTGGTATTCAGGAAACAATTCAGTTCTGGCCAAAGTAATCAAATCTCTTGCACAAGGTTGAATATATTTTTGTAAAAACTGACCATTCAGGGATGGATCATGATTAATCATATGGGCGTGAACCAGTCTCCTTAAATCCAGAAAGCAAGACAACTGTCTCCTATCCTTTAACACGGTTTTAGATACTAAAACTATGTTCGATGGTGCGCACGCAAATGCTTTTACTGAGAATATTATGCAAGTCCCAACAGTGCCTCTCTTAAAATGTTGTGTATAGCCCCTTCTCTTTCGATCTTCAAACCTCGTAGGTCCCACTCTCTCAGTTCCTGATTCAAGGCAAGACTCCCAGTACTCAACCCTGGGGACCCCGCCCAGACCCCCGACCTGGCCCGACGCGCCGGCTCCCAAGGCGGCGGGTAGGTGTGTCGGGCGCGCGGTCTATGGGATACCTGGGCCGCTGGCTCCGGGCTGGGCCGGATTCCACCGAACCCCCAAACCCCGGAACGACTCCTTCTCGCCTCTAAGCCTCGCGGATTCTCACCTCTGAGAGGGGACGTCGTTTGCCCTCCCCTGGGCTGCAAAGGTCCCCCTTCACGGCCACGGATTCTGTACTCCAGCCCTCTAACCTGCAGACGTGGCCCTGCGTTGCTTCCGGCCCGTCGCCACGCCCCTCAGCCAATCAGAGCGGGGAGTGTCCGTCGGCCCCGCCCCCGTTTCCCCGCCGGTCACGCGCAGCTCGCGCCTGCAGAACTGCGGATGCGGTTACTAGGCGGCTCTGGGGCTGTTTGGACTGAATGGCCAGAAGGGTGAGGCCCCACGATGGTCCGGGGGTTGGGGCCGGGGATCAGAGCACTGGGATACGCAGCCTTGATCTCCAAATCTGGGCCTCGGGGGGAAGACGTTCTCGGGAAGCTGGGGTTTTGAGTGGTCTTGGATGGGGGCAGGGAAGGGAACCAGCACAGGTGCGCGGCCAGGGCCACAATGAATGCCACAAAGGATGCTTCCCGCATCCCTCTCTCGATTTAGATCACCTCCCAAATCTGTGCCTCTGAGAAGCCACCTCAGGCCACCGCCCATCCCCAGAGCTTGTTCTAAAGGACATTTTATGTATTCACCTCTAAGATATTCCTAGCCTGAGCCCCTCAGGCAGAGGCCAGGTGAATCCAAAGCGTCGGAAGTACCCGAGATGCTTTCCCTGGGGAATGTGGCTCCGGTGAGAAGCAGAAACGCTCTCCCCAGAGGGACGGTAGCGGTGGAACGGAGGAGGCGGCAGCGGCAGGCAGTGGGGGTGGCAGTGACAGGTGGTGGGGGCTGCGGGGCCCTAACGACTGCAGGCTGGGGACGCAGGGCCCCGCCCCTCGGTGCTGCGGGTCTCTAGCTGCATTGCCCAGCTCCGCCCAAGTATGAGAGTCGACTCCATTACGTAGCCAGACCCCAGTCTACTAGAATTCAGGATTGCAGACTGTCTGCAGTGGTATTTGCAACCACCTACAACAGGACAGTACAGAACACCTGTTGCATGTGCAGATTCCTACATCCAGGTCTTGAATTTGGATTTTAATAGAGTGTTTTAGGGGATGTTGTGCCTACGAACTTTGGGGTCAGGAAATAAATCTCAAGGGTCTGAGTGTCCCGGTTTGTGCCCCTAGCTCTCTGTGCAAAGTGCTCCTGCGGAACTGCTTCCTCATAAAGGGACCTACTGATAATTTCGCTGGATACCATCTGATATTGACAAATCCAGTGTCCCTGGGCCTTTCCAAGTTCCCAGGCAGATTGATTTCGAGACATGTCGGCTTCAGTGAAAGAAAGCCTTCAGCTTCAGCTGCTGGAAATGGAAATGCTGTTTTCTATGTTTCCTAACCAAGGAGAAGTAAAACTTGAAGATGTAAATGCCCTGACGAATATAAAGAGATATTTGGAAGGCAGAAGGGAGGCGCTACCACCAAAAATTGAATTTGTGATTACGCTCCAGATAGAGGAGCCCAAGGTGGGTGCCCTCATTTGTTTTAGTGTTGTTAGATTCCCAGTTGTTAACAAAATGCCTGTTGCATGACACAAAGAATACCCTAGATGCATATTTCTTTACTTCTTTGGAAGCAAAATATATAAAATATGAGATGCTCTGTAAATTGTCTTTAGTAAACATCCTAAATTTTACATAAATATGAACACATTTTAAACAAATATACCTAATGTTTTTATTGAAAATATCCTAGTCATACTTACCATTATTCTGTTCACTCATCCAGTTTCTTAACAATCCACCTATTACAATATGTACTCCCTTTACTTGTATCATGATTTTCACAAATCTAGATATTGCCTGTAGCAAAACAGGCTTTTAAGAAGTGAATGAACATTGAGTTTTTTTGTTTTGATGGCAGCATAACCCAGAAAACAAATACAAGTAACAAAATATAAATATTAAAAATAAATTTCCCTCTATGTTCTTATCCGTTTATCTACAGCAACATTAGTATAGCATAGGTAACACATGTCCTGGGCATTTGAGAACTACTGTTTTAGCTATTTCCTACTCATCCTTCAGTTGTCATTCCCTCAGAGGAGACTTCCTGGTTCCCCAGACTGGATTCTGTCCTGATGGTTACACACTTCAATGGAACCCTGAACTTTTCTATGGTAATGCTTCTCACAATTGAAATTAAATATTTGCTATGCATAGTTACTTGTTTAATGTGTGTCTCCTTCACTAGGCTGTGGACTCCTTGAAGGGAAGAAATAATGTCTGACTTCTTCACTTCACTGTCCCAGCACAGGGTCCTTAGCATGTGTAGTTAATTCAATAAATATGAGAAAGAATGAATGTATACATGGATAGAATCATGTATATAAAGTACTTGGTAACAGAACAGCAATAATTGTTCCATTTATCAAAACCATGTAGTTGTCATTGATAAACTAGCTTGTGTGATTTTTATGGCATTTAAATCTATTTGATTTTCATTTTAAGGTGAAAATTGATTTGCAAGTAACCATGCCTCACAACTACCCCTTCGTAGCATTGCAGCTGTTTGGGCGATCATCTGAGCTTGACAGACAACAGCAGCTACTTCTCAACAAAGGTCTCACTTCTTATATAGGGACTTTTGATCCAGGTGAGCTCTGTGTATGTGCGGCAATCCAGTGGCTACAGGACAACAGTGCTTCCTACTTCCTGAATAGAAAGCTGGTGTACGAACCATCTACACAAGCAAAGCCTGTCAAGAACACATTCCTCCGAATGTGGATCTATAGTCACCATATATATCACCAGGACTTAAGGAAAAAGATTTTGGAAGCAGGGAAAAGGTTAGATGTCACTGGATTTTGCATGACAGGAAAGCCTGGTATAATATGTGTGGAGGGTTTCAAAGAGCACTGTGAGGAATTCTGGCACACAATTAGGTATCCCAATTGGAAGCATATTTCTTGTAAGCATGCTGAAAGCATGGAAACAGAAGGAAATGGCGAGGACCTGCGCCTTTTCCATTCTTTTGAAGAATTACTCCTTGAGGCCCATGGTGACTATGGATTAAGAAATGATTATCACATGAATCTGGGCCAGTTCTTAGAATTTCTCAAAAAACATAAAAGTGAGCATGTTTTTCAGATATTATTTGGTATTGAAAGCAAAAGTTCAGAGTCCTAGGAAGCTATTAAGAAGCCTATGCTTATAATTTCACTTAAGTCTGTGTTTCTGCTAAAAAGACCAAAATAAAAAGATCAGTGTCTGTATAGTGTCCTCAGTGAGAAACCTGGCTTCAAAATTTTCAGCTAGTAATGATAAAATATCTTTAACTTTATAACAATGCAAATGTGATGTTATTTCTATGTTCCTATGTTTAGTCATTTGAAAACTGTTTCACTGTAAATTAATAAAACAATTCATTTAACCAATGAAGCTGATTTGATTGAGAAGTCTAAAGATCCATAGTTAATGTCAAAAATCAAATTCAATCCTAGTAGCTCAGGAGGCTGAGGCAGGAGGATCTTGAGTTCAAAGCCAGCCTCAGCAATAGTGAGGTGCTAAGCAAGCAACTCAGTGAGACCCTGGCTCTAAATAAAATACAAAATAGGGCTGGGGGTGTCACTAGTGGTCAAGTGCCCCTTAGTTCAATTCCTGGTACCCCCCCAAAAAAAATCAAATTCATAAATATGAATGACTTTTTTATCCCTTTCGTGATGCCAGCATATAGGAAATATACCACCTTTTCCTTCATCATGGGAAACGAATTCTAAATCAAGGATAAAATGAGAATAAAAAGAGCATGTTTATTACATTTCTTACTTTAAATCCCCATTTTGAGTGTTCTCATAGTAAACTAGATTCCAATAGCAATGGCAGAAAAATAGTAGTAATGAAGCCTGAAGAGTAATGAGGGTAACACACCATGCTACATATTCTTCCTCCGGCTCTCTCTATTAGTTGGTTAATGATACTAATAATAACTATGTTGACAATAATGACAAAAATATTCTTATTACCTACAAAAGAATTTTTTTTGGGGGGTACCTGGGATCGAACCCAGGGGTGCTCAATCACTGAAGCTCATCTCCAGCCCCCCCCCTTTTTTTTTAATCTTTGAGACAAGGCCTTACTAAATTGCTGAGACTGGCTTTGTACTTGTGATCCTCCTGCCTTCTCAAGCTGCTGAAATTATAGGCATGTGCCACCAGCAAGAAAAATGGTTTCTTATCTACAAAATATTCCACTGGATCTTTCCAGCCATGACCATGTACCATTGTGCATTGCTACTTGGGGCGAGAGGGCTGCACTGTCAGCTTAGTGGGAAAAGAATCAAACCACATTTTGAGAAGTACTGTTTTAGCTATTTCCTACTCATCCTTCAGTTGTCATTCCCTCAGCAGAGACTTCTTGATTCTCCAGACTGGATTCTGTCATGATGGTTACACATTTCAATAGCCATCTTTTCTGAAAATTCCATCTCCCACCAGCTGTTTTCAACATGAGTTTATTTTACTGGTAAAAACCCTTATTTAAGAAGCTCCTGCCAGTCCTTTCATTACTTTGTACCTATCCCTGCCAAGAACTTCTGGGAGTCTCCTGTGTGCACAGAGGTATTATAAACATCCTCTGCAGCTTTCCCTATTCCCTTGGCCTCTCTTTAGCCCTTTCCCAGAGAAGATTTTTTTTTTTTTTTTTTTGCTGGGTCCTATGCACTTCACTAATATCCTGATCTGTTCAGGTTGCCAAAAGTAGGTGGTATGCCTTAGTGAGACTAAGAAGAATGCCTCAGTCCCCATTTGTGACATTTCTGGTAGACGCCAGAGTTGCATGTGCTGAGGAGTTTATGGAACTTCTGATGAAACAGTACCTTCTGGTTTTACTGTGTCCAGGATGCACACATATGTTCTTGGATTAAGGAGAAGACCTAATGGGCCAGAAGACCCTGCAATTATCAGGTTCTCCTGTGCCCATGTTGGGTCCACTTTAACTCAAAATGAGTTTCCTCTCACGACACAACTCTGACCTTTAAGCCAAGGCTCTGGTTATGGGCCTGCCTTATTACACCATCAGCTTGCCCATTCATATTTAGTTCTGTTTTGGAAAAAGAATCTTTCTACGTTCTCCAGGTTGGTAAAGAACTCCTGAGTTCAAGCAGACCGCTGGCCTTAGCCACCCAAGTGCTAGAACTACAGAAAATGCCTCCAGGCCCAGCTGCACATTTATGTTTTTTAATCCCAGCCTTGGATGCAAATGAAACTCAACTGGGGCCTCACACTTAGTATCTATATGAAAAGGAAAGAAATATGACTGACATTCCCAAGGACTCATTTCTCAGTGTTTGCTAAGGCTGAAAACAACATAGTATAGGAAACCTTTTCCTATATAATATCCCCAAACTATGAATAAATGCAATTAACATTCACAATTTTAGGACTTACACATATCTATTAACTATTTTTCCTTTGAAATGGAACAGTGTGGGTACCTATCTTATAGAGACTTATTTCCCCTGATTAAATTGGCAAAATTAGCCACAGAAATATAAACCTTTTGTTTTTGTTTGGTTTTTGTTTTGTTACAAGATTGGACCCAGGAGCACTTAACCACTGAGCCATGTCCCCCAGTCCCTTTTATTTTATTTTTGAGTCAAGGTTTTCCTAAGTTTCTTAGAGCCTTGCTAAATTTCTGAGCTGGCCTTAAATTTGTGATCTTCCTGCCTCAGCCTCCTGAGTTGCTGGGATTACAGGCATATACCACCATGCACAGCACAAATAAATTATGGAACAAAAAATTATGTACATATCTCAATAAACAATACAAGTTTATGAACTCTTCACTGCTTCTGGAGCTATTATAATTTTTTAGAACCTGCTTTTTTTTTAACATGTCCAATATCAGCATTCAGCAATACTTTCCTATTAGGAGCACTATAATAACTTAATTTTTCATTATGGGAGAAGTAGGTTTTATATAAAAATAAACATGATCATTGAAAACTCAGTTTTGTGTACATAGTAGACTATTGGTTGTGTTTGTCCAGCCTGACAGGAGCACATAAAACAACTTACCCCTTAATCCCTGTGTAGAAAAAACACCTACTTTGAGCCCCTTCCCTGTATACTTTGGGAGAAGGCATTTGGAATCAGTCCTCCAGCAGCCTTCTGAAAATGGTTGTGGGCTCTTGCTTACCTCCCCTCATTCTGGACTACTGAATGCTTGGTTGCTCAGCACCTCTTTTGTGCTATCCAACCTCTTCCCCTTTGCCCCTTTTGCCTTCTGGAAGTTAGAATCAGTCACTATTGCTTGTAACTTAAGAATTTTAATCTTCTACATTAAAAAATTTAAATGGTTATTTGGGAAGAATGCCCACTTATAAAAAATGCAGTGTCTTTTTAAAAAACTTACTGAGTTAAATCAAGCATTCCTTCATGTTTTGTTCCTCATTCCCTATTGGTCTCTTATATGTTAGGTAGAGCCGAGGATATGCACAGTGAATTGCAGAGTAGGCCAGATGAGCTGGCACACTACGACTTCTAAAACATCCCTGTATTAAATCAAAACTATGTTGCCCATGAACTCAAGTTGAATGGTTCACAGCTCATCCATCCCTCTCAGAAATTGGCAAGATTCTCCATGTACGTGAGGTCTTCATAGAACTCTTTTTGAAAAGAGAATTTTTTTTTCATTTGCTTTTACCCTGGGTAACCAAAAATCAGTCAAAAGAATGGTTATTTCCTAAAGAGGGCATGGTTTTTCTCATAATCCTGGTTTTATATAGAATCTTGATTAGCCACAGAAACTCAGAGCTCACTGGATCTTTTTCATAAAGCCCTCAATACGACTTATTTCACTCTCACGTGGACACATTAAAGAAACCTCTTTTTCAGAGTCAAATCAAAGCATTTGGATCAACCCATAATGAGTCTGAGGAGTACACACAAAATTTAAAGAAGTCAACCATGCACTGAGGGCCATCCTCAGTAACAGGATGAACAGAGTACACAATTTATTCTTCTATCTGGAAGAGACATCTAAACATGCACCAGACACTGGGCCTCTGTGAAACTTGGCTGAGGTGACAGGCTCCTGTGCTTTCATGAGATTTATCTTCCACCCTTCTGGCATGATGTATCCTTACCAGGCATCCAGGGAACCTAATGTCTCCCCTGCTCCTGTCAGCAAATCATCATCAATGTATTGGACAGCAGTTCCCCTGTACTGCTACCAACAATCTCAATAGTTAGAGAGTTGATATGTTGAAAATAGATTATCTGCATTGCTTACTTAAATAGGGCAAAGTTCTTCAGGTGTTCTTTACTTGAATACATGAAAACAAAAAAAAAGTACTGCCTATAGTAATAGTTATTTACAGATTTGCCCCCAAGAAACTTGTCTAACAGAAGCTGCAGTTAATCACTGATTAAGTTTATGAGCATGTGCTATATTATTCTGAGACCCATCCACCGCCTGCATATGCCAAAGATGATGTTAAATGGGAAATATGGTAAGAATCTCATCTCTTTCTTTTTAAAGCTTTTGAGGCTAGAATTTATCTCTGCAAATCTCTTGGTACTTCCTACCAGAAGAACCCTTTATTTATGGATCAGGGATCCAATATGAGGATATTGTCATAGAGGAAAAAATATCAATTTTTACCTGATACCTGCATACAATTATCTGTCATTTAACAATTATTTTTTTTTTTAAAGATCAATGTTAACTCTTCCGTGGGAAAATAACTGGAAGATAAGTTAATTTCTAGAGTACCTACTTTGTTTCATAGATCACAATAGTTTTGGAGACCCCAGAAACATGTATTCAGAGCTGTTCCAGATGACCTCCAAAAGCCCAGTCATTTCCTTTCTGCAGTGTATTGTTATCCTAACAGGAGTTATTAAAAACATATATTTATGATATTATTATAAAGGTCTTCATCTTAGAGGTCTTTCACTCATATTCACATGTGGCAATTTGGTGATAGTCTTCTCTTGGTGAATGTAGGCAGGCTTTTTCCTGCTCTTGTTATACATATTATTTAGGACCTACATGGGTTGAGCACATTATTTGGTCCTAAACCAGACTGATATTCAACTGGTATATATGGGTGTGGTTGTATAAATTTTTTTCCAATAGCATCCATTTTTCTTGTTCAGTACCTATTGTGCCTGGTTAATTTTTGAATATCATATCAGGCCAGGGAACTCTACATTAACTACCAACCAATAACAATTTCTGTGGGCCAAACTATTCTGATTACATTGAACTTGCTTGTATTATGATTACTCTTTCTGATTCCTTTTCTTAATTTCTGCCTAGAGTCTCTACCAACACCAACGTTCTGATGTTTCCATTTAACAGGAAACCCATTTTAACTGTTGCATTGCCCACAGACTTTCTCAGCATACAGAGAAGAATCACTAAAATTATTT